AATTATTTTCTCTAAGGCATAACGTACTCGATTTATATATCAGATTACTTATTTGCGTGCATAGCAATAATGAAAATGTCAAATACAAACGCCAGGTGGAAGCGTATTAATAACAACTCTTCAAAAAAATTTCAGGTTGTCGAAATGGATTTTTTTAAATATTTGAGACAAGTAGTACGACTGCCTGTGGATCTAACACAATAAAATTTACTTTTTTTCACGAGGGTGACGTAAGAACCCCAGGAGTTATTCTGTTAGAATAGTTTTGGCATCTTGGATGAAAATAAACTTTAAAAATATAAATCAAAAGTTTTCCAAATAATAATAATAATATACCTTGGGTGAAGAAACSTCKCTSCAGARAAATTACAGCGGAAAGCAGTAAGAGAACTTTTTTGTTGACTTTCTTCATTTTTGATGTTAAATCTTTGGTTGTCTATTAATGCATCTGTAAAAATGATACACAAGTACAGAAGGCACAGTCTGTTTTAGAAATCCCGTCGAAAATCATTGTAGAAAAAGCGTTTTAAGCCTAAGATCATATTTTTAAAACTAAAAACAAACATCGATTTTAAACATGAATTTCAAACATGGATTTTTAACATGGATTTTAAACAAGGATTTTAAATAATATTTCATAACACCGTTCAAATTTTATGATTTAATATTTAAAAGAATTCCTCATATATACATATATAAGTTCAATACAGAAATGAATTGTCATTTAAACAAAGTAGGAAAAAGAGTTTTAAAGTTACCTCAGTCCTATACTTATAGAGATTGATAGTTCATAAGTATTTTCACTTGACGTTTTATGCGCAKWCACGATTCGTGATGTTCACGTCCGCCACCTCGGTTTGTCTGAATTATTTGTACTTACAAGTGGTCAGTGCTAAACGTTACTAGTTGTGTGAGATCATGTTTACACAATCAATCAAATAGACGTCCAACGATGCCCATCTGCCATTATGACAGTAAAACTTTCAAGAATAGTAAAAACTTTGGAGGACATTTGGTGCATAGCCCTTCGACAGTTTCAAAGATTCAGAGCGATGAAAACTGAGTATTTTGTATATTATTATATATAAGCGCATAACGAAATAGCGCCGCGTACATTGCGTTGCATCATTTTGTCTTTCTTCGTATGTCTAAATTATTTCAAACATGCGTCAGTTTTGTTAAGTAAAGGCTTCAAAGAATATATTAAGGCATCTGACGGAACGCATCAAAGGAACCATTGATCAGTCACGCGGTTTCATGTAATCTTTACATGTGCCTGTGCTGTTTCACAATAAAGTAGTAAAAYGAAAATAACTAAAAGAAAATTAATTAGGTAACTTGCTCATGTTTATTCACAAATTATCTAATATTTTCTTTAGAAAAAAGAAAGAAAKGAAAAGGTATATTTTACTAAGAGAAAACCCTTGGGTAGTGAGTGGCAATGCTTATCACCGTTATTGTTACTGACTACAACATCAATAACTATTCTCTGCTTGCGGTCAAGCCAGTATTCAATCAATGTTGCAGAACTGAGGATATGTACCGTGCATAATTTATAATGGTGGTTATCCTACTCTGTTGCGGTTCCTTGATATTATGGAGGGTTTTTTTCACTAAAGGTTACAATTAAATTCACCTTTAGGAACTACGTGAAAGCCTTATTTCAGTAATTAATTGGCTCACCATTAATGATCAGGATGTTCACAAATTCCAGTCCCAATAACGCACTAGATATTACCTTATCTGGGGGGGGAGGAAGGGGGCGGGTGCGTACCCACTGCAACCCTCCTCTAGATCCGCCTCAGATTATGGTGTGCGCAGGTCCCTCTACTTTCCTTTGGTAGCTGTCCGGGTAAATTGCTTGCGTGTCTTATTTTCCAGAGTAATTTTCATTATTTATCTCACCTCTCTGGGTCAATAATTACAAAAAGTGACCAAGCCAAAATAAAACGGCTGTTTTATAGTGTCGTGATTTCAACCAGTTAAAATCTTGTTTTTAACCGCGTGCATTCTAAAGCTTAAACGAAAATAGAAAACCAAAATTGAGAGCGGAAAATTTGTTTCGGAGCTAAATCCCATGATCCATTCCTATCAGCAAATTGCTTCAACATCAAACAAGTACCTTAGGTGATCCACAGACAGAGAGGTTCTTTGCATCAAGAGTACTTCAATATTATTTGGCCAAGAAAAGGACCTGTTTTATCGTTTCCTTGTTAGCGTTCACCATCTAAGGCAGACATGGCTTTTGTGTTATCAACACTATCTTTCCAAATTTTGATATTTTTCAGGATATTATGGCTTACCACTTGTACGACGGGTATGTAGATGCTTCAAATTGTCAACGCTGTCAATCATTATGTTTATTCAGTGCGCAGGTCGTATTAGAAATAAATATGATTTTAAATCCGCTATGGGCTTACTAACATCGATTTTTTACGTCAAAAAAGTGCATTTGATTGATTGATACCCTATTTAATAGGCCGAAAATAATATTTTGTATAGTTTCTTTTTTCATATACCTTTAACACTGTACGTTGTAAAGTGGTAAAACTATACGATTAATGTGAGGTGTAACTCAATATAAGTTGAAGGTAGATGCAACTTTAAAGTCTTCTAAAAATATTATTGCCTGGATGAATCTAAAGCCACTTTTTAATCTTTTAACAAAACAACAAAACATATAATAAGTTATGCCGTCTATTTCCAGAAGAGGGCTTTCCTTTCCAAATCGGGAGAGTTGCTCACTGTTTTCAGTGCGGTCGGTCCAAAAGCAAAAGACCAAAGACGTCATTAAAAAACGTCAGTAAATGAAACACAAAATTCTTAATTGTCACTTACGTTCTTGCCTTTCATTGTATTATATTTCACAGATTGCTTCTGCTACAAATTCAATACACATGAATTAGGTTGGAGAGAGGGCCGAGGTGAGTGCAGAAAAGATGGAGGTGACTTGGTAACCATGGAAACAGAAGAGAAATGGAAATTCATTAAGTCAAAGATTCAAGGGATCAATAAGTATCCCAATGAATGGTACATTGGCCTGAAAAAGGAAGGAGGAGAATGGAAATGGGTGAACGAACAAATACTTTCAATAAACAAGTGGCAACCAGAATGGAATAGCAACATTGAACCAAACGGTGATGGGGAATGTGTGATTATGGCTAAAAACTWTCCCCCCGGAACACAAGGACTGTTTAAAGACCTCACTTGTAAATACGCATTAATGTTTGTGTGTGAGTACAGAAAAGGTAGGCAGGTAACA